GATTTCAAACGGCCGGTCGGTCGTGATACGCGTCTTTAATCTGAGTCGATCTTGATTGAACGCGAGGCTGCCATTGTCCCAAGTTAATATGTAAATCGATTCGGATTGATCGCGCGGACCGGGTTTAGAATGCGCGGTAGAAGACCTACGCGTTCGCGATCTTTACATTCGTTTAGATTTCGAATTGCTAACGCCTTTTCACTGTCACAAAAAGTGCCTAGCGGTATTCCACAGGGATCTTTGCTCGGACCAGTGTCATTCCTAGAGTGACACTTAACTTTTTCCGGCAGATTTTCATAAAACTGCAGCGATCAACGTGAAAGTTCACTTTTTAGAATGAACAGTAGCTCCATCCAGCTCCAATCTACACCAGTAGAAATTTATTTATTTATTAAAATAAAGTAACCAACAGGATAACACCCAATAACAGATTACAATCAATCAGCAAAGAGTTTCATCTATGTACTAAACGAATAAATAATAAATAATAATAATAATATTTGTTGCCAAAAATTCCTTTTACATAAAAAATATTTTTATAGTGAAGGATCTATAGGGGGCAAAGACTGCCCGTACATAGGTTGGCCCCAACATAACTTACAACTACTTAATATTGCTTGTGAGTTGCACCTCGCCAATTATACCGAAATGTATTTCACTTTTTACAATTTTTTGAATATTTTGAATTTTAGTTTTACATTTTATTTATTACAATGTAACACTTCTAATGTTGTCTTTAACTTTTTTTTTAGTTTTTGTCAACATTGACATTTTTCAGTTCATTAGGTATTTATTTGACTTTGTATATATTCGTTTTTTAATTCACTATATTGATACACTATTGAATTCATCACAAAAGCCTGTTTGATACAACGGGTCAAACAAAGAAATGTAGAGACCTCCCCAGCCTATAACTGTATACTGCATAAATTTGTAATAACTGCTTCCTTGAGTTTATAAAAAACATACACAAAGTATTTGCTTTTTTTACTGTGTTAGCCACGTGAACATCCCATTTTATATTATAGTCGTAAGTTATTCCTAGATATTTACCACTGGTAGCTCTGTTCAGACTCTCACCATTAATCTTGATTTCAATATCCTGTGGAACAGAGTCGCTATAGTTAAAATAAAGTTGGGACATCGTCAGCGATGACTTTAGCTCATATTTCACTAGCCTTTCAGATAATATAAAAGATAATATTTCCTTTTCAGACTTAACCTCATAACCTAAATTTAAATAACAATCACGGTTATTTGGATAAATCCTTTAATTTTAAAGGATGTTTTGACTTCTTGGTGCCCTTTTTTTAAATATGCAGAAGTGATTCCACTTTTTAAAAAAGGCAGTAAATATGATGTATCAATTACAAAATTACAAAGGTCGTCTACTATCGACTTGTGAACGTTGACAGCAGTCTTCAAAAAAAGCTCTCCGACTTCTTCTTGTTTTCGGCTATAAAAAAAATCATTTTTGATAGTAACCAAAGAAAAAACAAAAAATGACGGAATGTTTGTGGGACCGCCACTAGCTTCAAGGATGGTTTTTGATAAAACGACACTAAAAAATAAGTGAAACGCCACTCAATCTCAGAATTTTGGACACTTGTTGTAACAAAAACATCATAAAAACTGCAGATATCAAACTAAAACCTCACTTCTTGGCTTCCAAGAAGGGTTTTTGAACAACAAAGTAACAATAAAGAATTATAATTATTTGTGTCTATAGACTTTTAACGTTCAGGTAATATTTAATTTGTACTCACTTTTGTGATATTTTTAAAAATATGAATACCTCAAAAAGTACTGTGTTTAGGTACAGGGAAAGTTTAATAAAATTGAAATTGCATTAATGTGAGTAATTAGCGAAAGTATAATATACTTATATAATATCTTTGATTTTGACAAACCATATGGACTAACAAGTATAAGACACTTTTGACGAAAAAAATTACTACAGAGACAGTGGTTTTGGGTTGATATCTGCAGTAGCCATTAAACGGTTTACAAAAATAGTAAAAGAGCTGATTCTGAGTGGAATTATCTTAAAATCTACTAGAAAGGAGTGTCGCTAGGTTTTTTGTTGTTTTTTTTTTCTGAGATACTCTCCTTGAAACTACGGTATACACTAAGAAAGACACTGGTCCAGGCACTGATCCTTGTGGAACACCACACGTTTTTGGTCAAGGTATATAATGTCTACTGGATTGCTCGAGTCAGGAGATGATATTCAATGGTTCTAACATATCAGTGTATTTGATCTAACGGACCTGCTACGATTTACTATTAGGCGTTGAAGAACTTTACATACAGCGAGTTTTCTATATTATCGGATTAATTCAAGGAATTTAATTAATTAACTGTGTATTTGGAAAAAAATTGTGGCATACTAAATATAAATCAAATATCTAAAGTGGTACTACAGATATTACAAAAATATGTTTTATTTTTGAAAACCTTACCACCTTGTATCTCAAAAGTTAGGACGTTTAAGGCATCTGAAGTTGCCTTTTTAAAATGAACCCAAAACCCAATCTGATGGGGCGATAATTTGAAAAGTATATCTTATCCACCGTTCCAGAGTCCAAAGATTTTCACTAGAAATCTACTAGAGTTTGGTCTCACTCATTGCTTGTTGTTTTGTCGTCAAAATTTCGAGATGTCGATATTGTTGCCGGTAGAGATTGACAGGATCAGAATTTAGCGTATCCATCACTACTACCCAAAAGTTTGTGGCTCCAGAGTTTTATTTCGGTTCTTCTCTCTCATTAGACTCACGTTGTGACAATTTCCTTCCCTTTTTGGTACAATCAGCCTCTAAAGCGGGCAGTATCTAGTTTTTGATTGCTGATATTGCAATTGGTTTGGTAACCAAGAACCTTCCCGAGGATTTCGTTACTTTGGGAGGTCTTCATAAGCTCTTTTAATGACCTACTGCCATCCGAAACTATGTTATTTTGCCAGATTGCATTGTCGCTGGGTTCATATATCTTAATTCCTACTCCTTTTTGGATAGAGGTTAAGGTTAGTTTTACAAAATGGGCAGAAATTCGTCTTCCCATTCAGCTGACCCCAACCTACCCAACTAACCAACTCGCCCGTAGCGTTTTATTGTTTTTCAACGCAGGTCCTAATTAAATATATAAAATCCGAAACCGCCGCTACATACGGTACGTAAATCATCATCCCTCAGCCGTCAAATAAAAAAAAAAACTTTATTATTTCTTAATTTAATTCCCACCAGGCGCTACAAAAAACGAACGGAACGAAACCCGATGGGTCGTTATTATTACTTCTCTCCCCCCGGTATATCTCATCGTTATCTATCAAACGTACCACGAAAATTGATCGGGCCCCCATATTCTACCTGACAACACGTCGGATGCCTTCTGTCTTACACCGACAACTCAATGTTAATGTATATATAGATGTATGAAATAATCGATCGACAGCGAGTGGCCTTTATAATTCGTTGCCTATTAATGTGCAGGTAATTTGAGGACGAAGCGAGCGATAGCCGGGCAGATTTTCGCTTTTAATTATGCAAATTCCAAAAGGCGACGCTCACCGGCGTTTAAGTGCCGCGATGGCGGTCGCTTCGGCACAAATGGAACACGTAATTGTTTTCCGACACCCCATATCAAAAGTTCTAACAAAAGTATAACGTCAAAACGTCATTTGAGATGCCAGAAGTTTATAGCATTTCATGCATATACAACTAGGCTCAAAGAACACGAAAGACCCTTACTACTAAGACAAATAAACTTATCAGCAGTTGCCGAACACAATCACGAAACCGGACATAAATTCTTATACCAACGAAAAATCCGAGAGTCTATAGAAATCTATAAGCAACCTAACAATCTTAACCGCGACTCAGGTCTCTATCTGTCACCAACTTTGGGAATCAGTCATCCGTGACGGTGTTTATGCCCCTAGGCATAGATCTAATCAAGTTCGATATTGTTTCTTGTGGAATGTTAAGCCACTCTTCCTCTAGTGCAACAGTAAGCCCTTGGATCGAGGTTGGGGTACGAAGTCTAGCTCGAATTATCCGTTTTAGCTGATCCCATACATATTCGATCGGATTGAGGTCGGAACTGAATGCTGGTAACTCCATTACTCGAAAACCGACTTCTGTAATGTAATCATCTTGCACGATCTTTGCGGTGTGCGGCCTAGTATTGTCATGCATGAAAATGAATTCTCTCATAAAATAACCGCCCCTACGAATGAAAACAGGGTCGGTTCTTCCGTCCATGGAAATTGCACCCCGTATCACAATCAATCTCCTTAGTGTGATTTGTATTATTGCACTTGGTTGTATTTAGTATTTTATTCCCTTTTTTATATGACAAGGCACAACCCTTTATATTCAAAGTGAAAAAAAAAACAAATACTCACGGACATCGGTCTATACAACCAATTGACATTCGCAGTTATCATAAAAATAGTTCTCGTTATCTTACCTTAGGCTTTCTTGAAGGTAATTTCAGAAAAGAACTGGACTGGCCCTCTTACGAGAAAACCAAAGGTTTAACTCAGTTGAACAATAATAATAATAATAATAATAAAAGAATTTATTGCAAGGACTGCAAAAGGCGAATTTGAGGCAGATCCTCCTAACTTAACATACATAATGCTTTCATGTGACGACCAAACAGTACGGCAGAGGTAACATCTACTTTTTTAATCTGTCACCAGTTAATAGTCTTTGTTAATCTGGTAAAATTGAAATAATATCTGAATGCTGGATTGTTTTTCTCAAGGATTTGGACAGAAATGTAGGGTGACCAAAAACAGTCTACTATTTGCCTTATTGTGGCTACCTTGTTCGTGGGGGTCAACTCTATCAATAATCTTTTTTTTGTCGTAAACTGTTTCCTCGTTTTTAATTTGCATTTCTGATTTAGTTTTTTCCCAAATGCTCCAAAAAACACCGTATATTTGCGGACTCCGAAATGAATGCAATTTTATAATCATAGCTTTGTTTCGCTTACCGTCCGGTTTTGGTGATGATCATTTCCGTACCGAGTTCGTTGAACTTGTCCCACAAGTCTTTAGTTTCTAAATGACACGTGACGGTCCGGAGCTCCTCGCAGGTCCATTTTTCTTGCAGCAGGGGATTTTTGGTAGGCGTTCTGGAACGAAAAACCTCGAATGAGTTCAGTATCGCACGTTCAATACAGTCGGTTTGACGTTTCGCAGATCTTCTTCTTTTCGCTTAACTTGTCGTTGAAGTGATTAATGGCGTTATCGTTTTAATTGAAGGATTTGGGAAATATATACATTGGGTACCTTCTTCCAGTCCTGGACTGAGTGCTCGTTTCTGAGGTCGACGATACGTCTACCGGCGAATCCGATCGACTTTCCGGATCGTTTACCGTCGTCGTGCAATCTAAACTACCGGGTTCGGGGGGAGAGGGGACCGACGACGACGTATCTACAAAGTTATCTGCAACAAAATCAGAAATTATATATAAAAAAAACGTAATCTAATTTTGAAGACTTTATTTTATAAAATTATAGGCACGCCAGTGCAGATTTCGAAGATATGGAAGAGCAGTTTTTGAACACAATAACTAAAAATATATAATTAGTTTCAGAAAATACGGAATTATTGTGTGGACGGCAAATCAACATTTGAGACGAAACAAACTCATCTCGACACTTTGGCGGATGCGCCCGTCTAAATTTCCAATTTACATTTTCATTCGTAATTCTGGATAGGGATCTTTGTAAACATGATCACGCTGTTTTCTTAATACTGTTCTAAAAGAAAACCTTCATAAGATAAGATCTTTTTTAAAGAAACGTGCCGATGGACTCTGCACCGACAACTTTTGAAATTCGTCTGTTTGATTTTGACTGTTGAGAGTCATTAAATAAATACATATGACCGTTTGAAGAAAAACGATGTTCTCTTATATCATATTGTCACAGAAATTTCGCCATATACAAGATTACATATGTACTAGATATTCTCAAACGTATTGGCTATATATTACACAAATTATATCGAATAACCAATTGATAGACATGGCAAGAGTTAGTGACGAACATTTTGCAGCTTTAATAATGTAATATTACACAATTTACATTACAATCCAGACTGGTCGGTTTGTAAAATGTTAGAAAATAATTTAGAAATAACAACCGATCGCCTTTAAAAAAAACGTTTCAGTTTGATTAAAATATAACAAGCAAATAAGTAATACCTCACATATAGAAAAAAAGAATAACGCTGATGTTTTAAAACGACTAAATTCAACAAATCAGTATCAAAATATTATATTTTGATTAGTTGAATTGTAGAAAAGAGTTGATTATTTTTCTCAGTGTAGATATTAAAGTGTGGTAAGTAGAAAACGTTCAAATGCCTGTAAGAAAACGTTCGTTCTATGTCCTAGGCGTGTGTGTATGAGACGGGATCGGGGGTTGGGGGGAGAGGAGTGTAATTACTCACCAAAAGTGGCGGAAACGCAAACGATCGCAGATTTGAGCACGAAACTTGATGACCGTTCCACTAAATTAATGACTGTCACCGTATTATACATATATGTGGGACGTGGGCGCTTACAATAAGATCTTTATCGGTAAGGGAATCATGCATGTAATGACAACGTAAATTACACCGGTCTTAATGCCGTCAATTATAAACATCAACGGTCGGACACGCGGGAGCCGGTCATTAAAACATAATTTTTTCGGGCTGTATCGCCTACGGCAATTTGTATGCCTACACGGGGGATTTAACATCGCTTTGTATATTGTATATGTACCGCTTCACGCAGATGATACATTACACAGTTCCAGCTTGTGATAATAACCCATTAGCGAATATGCTGATCAATTTTAACGTCAAGAAATTGTCTGCAATCTCTAAATTCGTATCATACGCTATCTGAACCTCCACCAACATCATTATTTATAATACAATTGTACTGCACCATTTGCAGGCTTACGCAATTTCACCTGTACGCCACTGATTTCCCTTTTTCTTCATCTTCGGCATTTTAGTTTACGAGTTTGCCGTTTTCGTCCTTTTTTTGTCAGTTCTAGTGATTTCTTCTCATAAACTCCAATTGTGGTTGTAATTGTACTTCTGCGTCATTAATTTTGTATTATGCTTGGCAAGATTATTTTTTCGTTTTCTTTCATCATCAGTCCTATCAGTCCATGAAGTGCTCCTATGACTTGTTTACCTGTCTCTGTATCCTTTAAACATGGTTCATTTCGGTGCAGTGTCAATCCTTGATACTTGAAAGTTTGGCAAGTAAAGTCTGTTCATAGATATAAGAAAGTGACTGGTACGAATTAAGGAAAGACCCGGGCAAGCTGTAAGAATGAAATATGACCGAACAGGTACGTACTTTGCTTAGAATTTAATTATTTGGGGTTTTGTTAGGAAAGACACTAGACAATATTTATTTATTTATGTTTAAATCTAAAATAAAATTACAAATTGTTTTTATTACCCACTTAAATTACTTAAAATTATTCACAAAATTAATCACATAATATATCAGTATAATTATCGCTATCATCGCCTGTTCTAATTATTATTTGTTTTATATTATTTGCAATATGGATATGTTCAGCTTTTTCTATAGTTTTAACAGAAAACTTGCCTTTTGTCAATTCTTTTAAATCTAAAACAAATGTGTTGAAAACACTTCCCTAAGATAGTTCTGCCACATTTAACGCCGGTTTCATCTTTTTCAAGCCTCGTAATTCAGATATCCAATGTAGGCACGCTTTGTTCCTCGTATAACTGTTAAATTTTAAGCCGTATTATATCTTGACCATGTTCATCTACACTCGAGAAAATGTCAGCATCCCTTCTTTTTTTCCTCGCTGAAATGGGATTATTCACAATTTTCTATACAGTTGATTAAAAAAAATTATTACGGACCACAATTTTACCTGAATTTAAATTCCGAAACTTTAGGTATGACCACCCTTGGATAATCCCATTCGAAAGCAATTGATCACTTTTTTATATCTATGAACAGACCATATTAATAATTTCATCCATATTTATTTTCAGTCCCCACAGTTCGTACTCTTTTTTTAGTTTTCTCCTCTTTTTCTTCCACTGATTTCTCTTAAAACAAAAATTAGTCTTACAATCTTCAATAATTTCTAAAGAAATTTAATTTCTTTGATGTTTTCAATCGGATGTCTGGTTTTCGCTTTAAATCAATGCCGTACCACTGATTGACTATTTACAAATATATTTTGGTTAATTAGGTCACCACTGCGCTGGGTAAATCGACAACTTATTCTGTGAAAAATAAAACATCTAGTTTCAAACTAGTGTCCAAAAGAAATATTAGAAGACTGTTCTTCCTAATTTTACAGTTTTCATGAGAGAACCTCCTAACAACAAGATACATTATAAACGATTCTTATTAAGAAAAAAAAAACTGACCACTATTAATACTTTTTAACAAAATTGTCTGTTAATAAATTAGTAACAAATGGTTCAACCCTCTTTTGTCCAAAAACCGGTAACAAAAATTCAAACTGTCCATGAAAGAGATACTTTCCTTTTAAAGGAGGGACGGAAGAAAATAAAATAGCTCAAATTCTTTCATTCTTCATTCCGAACGCAACTCGCCAGCGCCACCTAGCGCCCGCACGCAGAACCCTTCGAGCGTTTATTATTTCTTCCAGCGAAATCGCCAGTCGCTGTTTATGCTTCCGATCGCCTAAACAATCGCAAAGAATATTATTTAAATTGCCGTTTATCTTACGAGATAAAAGAACGCGGTTTAATGTTAATGCGCGCTTTTGTTATTGACGTGCCCCTCGAAGATGTATGCTCGTTCGACGTGTAATTTTTCAATTTCTAATTGCTTGTTTGCTGTTCGCGGTGGCTCCAATTAGAATCGACCGTTTGGAATAGGCGGGGCCGAGAACTAAGAACTCGATCTGATCGGAGCGACAATAACAGAAGGATGCCTGCTTCGATGTGATGCAATTTCAGGCAAAGCGAATTTTGGCAAAAAATCTGTCTAGGTATTTGTTTACCTATGAGCATTTTTAGATTTGCAGGGTCATTTCTAATTGAATATCAATAATACAGGGGGCGATTTTTGGGACCATTTTAAAGAGAAAACTTCATATGAACATATGTCCTAAAGGTCTCTACTTTTGAGCTACAGATACATAATATTCGAATTATTAATGTATGTCAAAAAGTCGAAGTGCGAATTTAAATTACGAAAACTTCAATAAATAAAATATTTGTTTTCCAGGATTCTTGGAAGCAAGCTGAAGTTTTACCTGTTCCAAGTGGCATTAACAATTTGAGACCAATGAGTTTCTTGCCAACCATATCAAAGACTATTGAAAAAATTGCAGCAAAACAACTTCGTCAGTTCGTATGTGATAACAAATTCCTCCCAGACACTCAATCTGATTTTCGACCTCTTCACAGCACTACTTCTGCACCTGCATATATAAAACTATAAACTTCGCAGATACCCCGTAAGTCTCTTCTTGAAAACTCTCGGGCAAGGCGCGCCCTCAATGTTGTTATCTGGCAGTTCATTAAAATTATAAACACCATCGTAGAATGGAGTTTTCTGTAAATGTGTTGTTTTTACCATAGAAACATTGAAGTGCTGATTGGAACGTATATTATATTGATAAAAGTTTGACTTTTTTCCAACCATAATTTAAGATAGCCAACATTAAACTTGCTCTTCTAATGAACTGCCCGACATTTAGCCAATTTAGCTGGTCTAACATACTCTTTATAGGAGTATATCTATCACAGTTCAGGATGATTCTCATAACCCTATTTTGTTGTAACTGTAACTTATTTAAATCTTCTTTTATACAAGATATAAGCAATGAACAAACATATGAAAAATGAGGCAAAATTATACTATCATACACTAATATCCTAGTCCACTGCGATAAAAACCGCGATACACGGTTAAAAAACCCTATTTTCTTACCATAGATGTTCAACATGATTGCTAAAGCATAATTGTGGATCCAAGATCACCCCTAAATATTTAATTTCGGAAACAAACTCAACTTTATTACCCTGTATATCCACAGAACACCCCGACTTATAAAATTTTTGACAGTTAACCTTAGAACCGATAACCATGCACTTGGTTTTGGAGCTATTTAATTTCAGTTTATTTTGACACAGCCATTCGTAGAAATACTGCATTTCGGTGTTCAGTTAGGTAGCTATTTCTTTGCAATCGTTTCCAGAGACTAAAATAAGCGTGTCATCGGCAAATAAGTTAACAAAGGAGTTTTTTAAAACCTGATGCATATCATTTATATAAATAATAAATAAAAGCGGGCCCGACACGCTTCCCTGCGGTACCCCCATCTGCTATCCCTATGACTAGAAACATTATTATCAATTTTAGTCTGGTGAGATCTATCAGATAAAAAGTTCTTTGTCCATTCTAGTGCAGAGTCTTTAATGCCATATAAACCTAATTTTGTAATAAGAATGTCCCTGTAAATACAAAAACACTCAGAAATAGTTTTGATTCATTCATGTCTTTCCGCCACACTGCACACATATATTGCAACGCAGATTCGCACGAGTGTTTGCTCCTGAAACCAGACTGTCCACTGAAGAGTAGGCAGTTCCGCTCCAGGTAGCCTCTCATCTGCTCACACACTATCGTTTCCAGGATTTTATCCACTACTGGCAGCAAGTTAATTGGTCTAAAATCACCAGGTGTTTTCGGTTTTGGCACATTAGGTATGGGCACTATGATGCTTGTTTTTAGTTTATCAGGGATTTTTCCGGTACTTAAAGACGCATTCACCAAATATAACAACGGATAACCTATTACACACAATAAATCCTTGACGAGCTTAATATTTAGAACAGAGTCATTTGTACTTCTATTTTTTAGGTTATTTACGTTTTTTCAAGCTCCGATATAGTTATTTTTTTAAAGCAAGACAAGCTACAGCTGACCATGTCACACACAGAGTGCCATTGCTTCTTTTCTATACTCTCTGCTATTTCGTTTAAGCTATCGCCATAAAAGTTATTCATGTTTTCTTCTTCTATGTCACTGTAATGTACAAAATCAATATTGGTAAAATCTGCTTTTTTATTTTTATTTCCAACAAGTCCTTTTAATGTCTGCCACATTTTCTTTCCATTTCCCTGCCTTGCTTCATGTTACAACTAAACTCTTGTCTCATACTCTTGGACTGTTTTTCCTTCTCCTAGCTAAACTGGAATTATTCGGGATAAACGGTACTGCTCTTTTATTTTTTTTAATATTTTTTTGGTCAGAGATACCAAAGTCTAGTTATAGGAAATACTCATTCAGATGCTATTGCTTTGGAGGGGGGTGTTCCCCAGGAGAGTATTCTGGCACCTATTTTTTTCTCAAATTACATTTTTCCGTTGTATTTATCTTTTGTCGCTAGTGAAGCTTTAAATAAAATAATGGCGGAGGTATCTGCGACTCATAACCTCTTATTGAATACTAACGAAACGTAGATGTTATTATTTGGAAATAAAAGGGAAGGTATTGTAAAAAACGCATCTTTTAAGATTGCGGTAAATGACGAGATTATCTCTGCTTCTTCAGACGGGTGTAAAAGTTTAGGATTATGGTTTGACTTGCGGTTTTCTAAGTATGTTGCCTCGGTATTAAAAAAATCCTTCTATAAGTTGAGGACATTGTATAATCATAAACATTATCTCAGTTTTGGGTAGTTTTGCTAGCCAGCTGTAATTAATCGAGATAAGGAGAGACTCCAATGACTTCAGAACGTTCGTATTCGTTTTAGTTAAATTCTCAGTAAGTACGACCATATTTCACAGTTGGCTCAACCTGGAAGACCGATATAAAGCTCAGTTAGCCGCTTTTGTTTTTTTACTAAGCTCCAATAAGGCCCGTCGTACTTTTTTGATAAAATTTGCAGTTAAATTGTTTAATGAAATCCTACAACAAAGTCCTTCAAAAGAGCGTTAATATTGTTTATTAGGCCCGCTAGTATCTAGCAAAAGTGTATGGGTTTATGATATGCGTCTATTTTTCGTATTTACAATGTAGACACGGGTGTGTATTTTGTTGGCAATTATGGTGTTGGTGCTGTTTTTCTTGTGGTTACATGGAAGAGCGCAAATTGAATTATTACTTAGATTGTAACATTTTCATTTTCAATAAAGACAGTTTGTTATTAAATAATAAATAATAAAAATAATAATTTTAACAATTTTAAGATGCTCTGACAAAAACTTAAAGATTTCAATACATGCCCAAAACAAGATGAAAATTGTTTGAATAAATGCTTAAATATTCCGAATATTTTTTGCAGTTTTCTGCAATACCGGCTGATAAACAATTGACCTTATTTTACAAACAAAATAAGAGTAATTTTCCTTCATTGGTTAGTTTTTATGCAGTTGCTGTAGAAACCATTAAAATACATTTATTTGAGATCAAATCGCGAGCTACAGGGGACGGATATGAAATTATTAGGCTGTCATATAATTATCCGTCATACTACTAATATCAGGAATTCAATTTTGCTCGATGGGGAATTTCCACTTTCGTGGAAAATATTCCGAAAAAAACCTGATCGGTATAGTGAACTTATACCATATTACGACTCCTGTCAATAGTTGTACAAAAAATTGTGAATTATTAAATTAGGGAACACTTAAAAATTTTTAATATACTTCCGGAGCACCAGGCAGAATTCAAAGGGTACAAAAATCTTGCCCACCATTTGTAGATAGCATACGCAGAAGGGTGTCAATATCACACAAGTTACGGGAAACTAAATGGTTTTGTTCCACAGAATTATACATATAATCAATGTCACTCTTATCTAGTAAATAAGATTAAATACAGAACCAACGCTCATAATATGAATACAGCATCCCCAAACAATATTGAGATATTTCAGTTTAAAAATAATTATCATTCGATCTCTGGAGAATAGCCATATTGTTTAAAAATGGTCAAGTCTGCCTTGAAAGCAACCTTATTAGGTATCCATGTTTCCAATTGTTTTAACAATTTCCTACTTTTGACAACTTATCAAAACTGAAGACCTGCAGCGTAAGTCAAATAACGATATTTCAGATGGGTTATACTGAGGAAGAACAAAAAGAGAATATCGACAAATATATCCAAAATATATTAAAAATGTAATTAAACAATTTGAGGACCGAAATAATGTTACACGGATGACCTTAATATATTACTTAATTTTCAAGGTAAATTATTATACTGTTACGACAGTTGAAATCATGATCGGAAGATGGAAATTTTCAGAATGGCCAACGATATTTAAATTTCCTTGCAACAGAAATAGCAACCAGTTATCGATTATCTAAATAATAAATATAGACTTTGGATAGGCAGGCAAGGAACTATCAAATGGCCTGCCAACCACCCCGATCTGAATCCTCGTGACATTTTTTTGTAGGAATGCTTAAAAAATAAATTTTATTATAATTGTTCATAGAAAGTTTACAAGTGACAAGAGAAAGACTTAATACCGGTTTACAAGATCTACACAGAGAAAACCGTGAAAATATTGTCCGATGTATAGAAAATAATGAGGGTTATGTGGAAAATGTTTAACATTAATTATGGATATATTTATTGTTTGAATAATATAATTTTATGATTTGCCGTTTTTCTTTCTCAGTATAACCAATTTGAAATATCTTACGCTGCAGATCATTGTTAAAACAATCGCAAACAAAAATATGGCTGCTATCAAGGCAGACTTGACCATTTTTCAACAATATGGCTATTGCCCAGAAATCGAATAATAATTATTTTTAAACTGGAACATCTCAAAAAAAAGAGATCTACGATTCAAGCTAATAATATATAGGGCGTTTTAAAATTTGATATTCTAATAATTATAAATACCAAGAGTAAAATGGACCGCGTAAAAATTATTAAAAAAAATGCTATTCCATATTTTTATAACCGAACCATAATTAATTTACTAAAAGTGTTATTCTTTGGAGACAGAACTTTCGAAAATCTTATAAATACCTATAACAAATTTTTGAATAGATAAAAAAATAATTACTAATCAGTAACGTTTTTTTCTGTTTAATACATTTGAATGAATAATTATAATTATTATTTATAACATTATAAATAGAGAGTGGGGCACGACGGCCAGAAGCTTGACCAAAATTTGGGTAAATTTAGTTAAAGTTAATCAAAAATACTCTGTCAAAATTAACCCTGTAGGTCAACATATAATGAATAACTGAGTACTGACCAGGGAAATAAACCGAACTAAAACTAACGAAAACCTACCGGACGGTGAGACCGCGGGGTCGGAGGCGTCGAGACGCCTGCCCCCTTTCGTTTTGGCCCTCCCGTGCCTCGACATGATCGCCGCGATGCTAAAGTCCGTAGCCCCGGGCCTCATCGTAAAATTGTCCTCCATGACACAATCACCGCGATGCCGACGACGCTGACGACGACACCGAAGCGTCGAACCGCGACATCATTATCACCACCACCGCGAAAGATATCACAGCCGAACTTCGTTTCGCGACCGGGGGCGGCAGCCGCCGGGCGGGGGGGGCGGCACACGGGAACCTCGTTAATCGCGGCCCGTTTTGACATCGGCAGGAATACGTCAGGCTCGGCTCTCTCTAGCGCGCGTTTCCGACTTAACAATAAAACTTCTCTTTCAGATTGGCGCTGCCTTCGCTCCCACTCGCGTGTCGTTCGGGAGGCGGTGCCGCCGCCGCCGCCACCGCGTAATTGATACCCTCCCCTCACCCCGCCGCGACGTCGCCGCCGCTGCTTCGACTATCCCCGAGACTGACCAACGACGCGTCAGCGTCGAGAGACGTCGTTTAACGGGTGTTGCCATTTTTCCCCCCGATGACAACGCCGATCGACTTTTTTTGCCGCGCCGCTACCTGGGCGGGGGGCGGGCCCGCGCGGGTCTCCGCCCCCGGGCGTGGCCACGCCCGCCTTCCCCCTCCGCGCCGTACCTGACCACCGAGTAGTCGCTGCGATTGTTTTTTTTTTCTTTTCACCCGTTTCGCCGCGTTTCTCGGCCGCCGCGAGACGTTAATCGAGTGGGGCGGCGGGCGCCGGGGGGGGCGGGGAAAAAATTCAAATAAACGCGAAGTCGGATTTAACCGAAAATGCACAAAATTTGCAGAATATTCGATATTTACGTTTACGTCTTTACTAGTGATCGATGTTTTACCGCTATTGAGCGTTTGACTTATTATCTATTCTGACTTCTGCCTTTGTAACATGTCATGCTGTAAAAACAATATGAGAGAAAATATCTTTTAAAGCCTTTAAATTTATGTTTTTTTATTTTATCAAAATGATTTGTAAGGAAGTGCGCAAAAATTGCAAATGTGCATTTTTATCGTGTAATTTTTTACCTATACCACAGGACTATCTGAATAAATTATTAATAGATACATATATTTATACTTACATGCAAAACATAAAAATCTTACGGTGACAAAATATTATTTGCGATTATAAAAAAAATTATAATACAATTAAGAATTGAACAATACCACTGACACATTCAAATAACTGCTAAAAGAAACTAACCAAAACCATCGAAAACTATTCCTTGCAGTTATAAAAACAGTTGATAACTAAATGATTTTCAAAATTTCAAAAACTTTAATACTTTATACAGATTTTCAAAATTTGACGAGAACCATAACTTGCCCAATATAATAAATAAATATATATGCAAAGTAGTGAGGAGCAACAAGAAAACGGTATTCAAGAAAGAAAGTATTCATATAAAAAAAGTAACGTACAACTTTAAGACCAAACATTCTAATGAGGGTAACATAATATATATGACTTATCCATCACAGACCATAACCTTTTCAAAGTCGGTTATTTCGACCACCTAGACGGGAATTGGTTCCTTATCAATCATAGTGCGAGTTTGCTGACAAAACAACTTTTGTAATTTTCAACGACATCGGGAGGGTTCGTGAATAAAGGCCCCCACAGACGTCGTTCTTTTTTAGCAATTTTAAACACGAACAACGACCTCCCCCCACACATACGCGTTGTTTTGTATGTTTCGTTCGGTTTGTTTGAAATTGAGGGCTAAAATCATTGGCGATGGATTTTACGACGACGTTAGCGGTGGCGGCCGCAGTTGTTATTAAAATAAAAAATTCTAAAAAACAACGTTCCAAATGGGTTAAACAATGGTTACTCAAGCGAAGACAATTTTCACATGTTAATCTTTTGAACGAATTACGACTAGAACCGGGAGATCGGTTTAATTACCTGCGGATGGACGAAGAAACGTAGTTGGAACTGCTCTCTTTAGTAGCACCACTGATAGAAAAACAAGATACCGTATTTCACCACATGAACGTCTCACCGCCACACTAAGATTTCTTGCTACGGGAAGGAGTTACGAAAATCTAAAATTTTCAGTAGGCCTTGGGCAAATTATACCAGAAACGTGCAGTGCCATATATTCTGTTTTAAAACACCATTACTTAAAGGTAAAAAAATATGTTCAAATATGCTTGAACAAGGTTCTTTACATGGCTTGTTATTCATAAAATTAGGTGCCTTTTTGATCGGTAAGTTTATTTTGGAGGAATTTTCAACATTTAATAGAACCTTTTGTAATACTTACCTCATTGCTACTTGCTTCGTCACTAATATTGGTAACTGTGCTCCTCGGTGTTTCTTGGTCTGTAAGGAATACTAGATATTCGTAGTACCACAAGTGTGGTTTATAGATGATTGAATGACTTTTTTCAATTCCTTACGGAAGCAGCCACGTAAAGAGTCGACTCTCTTTTTCACGAAATCTCTTATTGCCGAGTTATCTACTTCTTGTAACTTTTTTATCATGTCTTCGCAAGCTTTATTTTTTTTATCTCTATCAGAATACTCCTTAGATTTAACGTTCCACAGCCACGGATAGCTTCTATACAGTTCTATGAACTCAATTATAAATTGCTTGCTGTAATTTCTTAAGTCAGTCAATACAATTTTAAAATCACTACTCAAAACTAACACTAATTATTGCTGTGTAAAATAAGTGAGTCGACACTGATAAAAACTGTCCTTAACTGTTTTCCCACCACACACTGAGAGACTTGAACGAACGCGTTTAAAAGGGACGGTTAAAATCAAGCAGAAAGGACAATTTTTGGTAACACACTGACCAACTTATCAGCACCGTTTTAACCGTGATGGTAAAATTGCTAAAAAAGAACGACGTCTGTGGGGGCCTTAACAGTAAATGCGTCGTATTTTTCTGTGAAATCCTTACCGCATTCAATCTATGAAACATTAATAAAAACTAAGTCGTTAATTACAGTTATTGGAGGAAGTCTTACTAATGAGACTATGTTCATTGCACATTTTACACTTTTCTTTACCAGTTCTCATTTTCCAAAAACTTTTCCATATTTCCGAATGCTATTTACATTCTGGACTCCTCCTGCGTCGTGAAACGAGACAAACCACGTAACCTGGTGACGTCACAAACAATGGAGTAGCGGTTTCTAGGATTAATTATATAGTAAATTTATTTTTGTGTTTAGTAAAAATATTTCGCATTGTAAGTTATTTGGTAGTAAATTCAAAAGTTTTCAGGTAAATCTAAAATTCAATTCAATAAACTTCGCTCCACAACGCTCATATGGATATAGCCCGTAAAATTCTGAAGCTCGTGCGACGTCGAAACAACTGGCCCCATCAAATTTTCCATTAAGTGTACCCAATTAACGTCGAAGCTATTTTGCGTGCGCCATATTGAAGAGAATCGCCGCTTTTTACATTAATCGACCTTTGGGGAGAGACATTTGCCTCGCATTAGATAATGAGCGTCTCGCCGATGGGAATTCGACCAATCTAGTAATTTTCCCGGTCCTATGGGTCCTCTGGGATCCGCTGCCGAAATGCTTGATTTGCCTGGTCACGTGAAACTCTTTTTTACGACGTAAGGATGCCGTGGCTCAATCTCTCGCACCTGGAATTCCATCTTCGCTTCGTTACAACTGAAGCAAATATTATCCTATATTCTATGCCATCCATCCATGCCCCTGGGAAAAAATGGTCACCAGGGGGCATAATTGCCATCTTCAATTTTGAAACTCGTTTAAGGCTGAAGTAATATAGTTTTTGAATTGGGAGATCGAATATGAAACTAGCCAAATCCAAACAGGGAGCAAAAACAAAATTGGAGTACTTTGTGTGACACAATACCAACGCTTAACCGCTCTGTTAAGAATGTGTTTATTTTTGTATAAGTGCCTTAAGTTATAATAATCTTTTTGCATAACTTAAGAGACATGAGTCTTGAAGCTTAATTTATTATGAACCACCAAAGTTTTTGCATTCGAAAATAACCAGCATTTAAGATTTACTAATGAATTATTTGTGTTTAAATTAACTTTTCAAACACTTCTGGAAGCGTTGGCGTTGGTCTAAAATCAGGTACATCCTTTGGAGCACTAACTTTAGTTCACTAAAACACTAAAAGTTCAGATTTTCACGAAATTATGTATTTTTACATGACAATTGATTCGACAACACCGTGTCTCTATCATAAGACATTTGACATAGTTCTTATTTATTTTGAAAACTCCTTTCTCAATGCATGAATTAAAAAGGTGTGATAACGCGGGCACAATTGTTGGACAGCACATTCTAAGGCTTAGACTATAAGCATATCAAAAGATATTCCAATTCTTTACTTGAACGCTTTGAACTTAAATGACTCCTAAAGGTTTCAGTGCTTGGAGAATGAGAAATTTTGGAGAAAGATTTGGATTTCTAAGGTTCGCCGCATTGTTTTGCGCGTCCAGAGACGCTTTTTTTTCTTGTCGGTAAATACGTTCCCAATTTCTTTATACGCTATTTAATATTTTATATTTAGCAAGAAGTTGTTTGGTCTGTTTAAAGAGCTGGTACCTTCCTTTGGTTAGTTCCTCTTCCAAAAGTATCCCAAACTCCGATTCTGCGATATCGATGATCGCTATGAGTTTGGGACCAGACCTTTAACATTCTCTTCTTATTTGCTCCCGTCCTTAATAAGCAAGTTACGGACATATTATTCTCGATTTTCATACTTTCCTCCTTAAGTACTTTATTATCATTGGAGGCTTTTATGACCATGTCATTCAGGATCTTTGACCTTTTCCTATCATCGTCAAATTTCTCACTCGTAAACTCCAGAGAGTTTCTAAATTCTCTTATATTCTTCCTGACGCTCGGTTCTTCTCTGCTCCACAATCAGAGCAGCTCGGGCACTTTTTCTTAGGCGTCAACCTTTACTAAAGATTTAAACTTATTTTGCCGACAGTTTTGGAGCAGATCTTGCACTTCTCATTGAAGACCATTTTAAACAAGAATATATGATGCCCGCAAGTTGCAAAAATATACGAAACTTCACCATCACTTACAGTTCGCTACTATACAGTACCTAATTGGTACCTAATTTCAAGCAAAATCGTTGATAAAATTCGTACTTTTATCCAGCAACAAACAACCCTTTTGTCTTGCGGAGTTATCAGTCAGTCAGTGTCAGTTTGCAGTTTTTAATTACAATGTTTACGTAAACCGATTAAAACTGGGAATATGAAGTGAATTATGAATTATTAAAAGCCACATTTTATTAGATTTATTGCTACTCCGGATATCGTTTGGTTAGTTTTAGTTAGT